GAGAGAAGGGCAAATGAAGAATTGGCTCGACACCGTCCGTCAAGACATGGAAACAGTTCTTGCACCTTCTCTCTTTGGTCTCCGTCGCTGGAGAATGGGTGGAGCTATCCATATCCGCTCCCGCTAATCGTCACGCATGGAGAGTTACCGTTCGTGACATCATTGAGGCCGGCTAGATCAGGCATGATCACAGCCGTAACAAGACAAGAAGACGACTCCATAGTATGGCGAGTGCTGTAAGCAAAATGCCGCAATTTGCGAAAGACTGGTACTCCCTCGCAAACCAACATTAAGTAGGAATGCACTACTGCTTACCGTGCAGCCTGATCTCAAGTCTTTTCAGTCACCTCGGGATGCTGGCTTTTTAACGACGATCTTTTTGACCGCTTTCGAGAAGTCTGCTTGACTGCCTTTTTAAATTCAAATGCATTTTATGGAAAACGTACACGAAAAAATCTTTCTTGTACTCGTTCGGTAGCAGATTATGCCTTCTTTAAATTTTATACTTAAAGAAAGGGTATCCTTCGGTTGTAGAACAAATTGTAATTATGAGGTTTTTACGACTGTGAGGTGTTCATTCGTAAGGCATCGTATCGGTCAATTTATTAATGCTACCTATAATGTTTATAGCATGATCCACATCTATTGCAAAATGTTATGAGAACTGTGTGATCTCTTCCTCAAACCGTAGGCAAAAACGCACTTTTCCTTGAACAGGATGTACACTTCATGCATTTTGGAAATCTTGAATTCAAGTGTAGCACTCGATAGGTTTCAAAATTATTCGGTAACTGGAAAACTTTCTTAAAACCGAAAAATATTCCTTCTTTAAATATACAATTTAAAGAAGGGTGTAATTTCCTACCAAATGGGTACAAGAAAGAACATTTTCGTGCATGGTTTCTATAAAATATATTTTAATTTAAAAAGGCTGTCAAAATCAATTATAAAAAATGCATAATAATTAAGTAGCTATTCTTTTTACAGAATCTACTTCTTGTAACGGGTCATAAAGAAGCTCATTAATAAGCCGGCATCTGGGCGTGACTGAAAAGGCTTGTGATAAGGCTGCACGTTAATCGGTATTGAAATCCCACTGAATGTTGTTTTGCGAGTGATTACCTATCTTTCGCAAATTGACGTATTTTGCTTGTAGCACTCGACATATTGTATGCTCATGAGCACAACACCTTTCTTTCAACAATTTAGTTTACTGTATTCACTCTCGACAAATGGAAAGAGTGCGGTGGAGGTCATGGTAACAATATTGGAGTCCTATCTACTGTTGATCATGCTCATCCATGCTCGTCCGGACCGCTAGTGTTTACTCGTCTGCCGGCAAGCCGTAAAATCGAAGGCAAAATGGAAGGCCGTATTCTGCCCTGCACTTAAGTCAGGTTGATGGTGAGCACTATCGCGTTACCCAGAATATTGTAGACACACATTGCTGCTATAGCCCTCACCAAATGCTCTGTACTTCAGTTTTAATGTCAGTTGGGGATTTCTTACAGGCGTTCCGCATTGTGCAGGGATTGGATTGTAACCTGGCGTTTGGGGAACTTTTAAATTTGCTACAACGACCGATTTCCGAGGTCACTCATTTAAGCTGCGCGTTCAGGAGCTAGGCTAGATGGGGGCAAGTTATCCTTCTTTGTCATAGTGGTCAAACAATGGAATACCTTTCCCTCTCCCAACAGATGTTGGGATTTTGTCGTCCATCATAAATTGTTTCTCTGTACACTGCACTCAATTTTCTACGTTGCAAATAGTGTTCTCAAATGCTTCTGTCTATATTCCTCAATTACTCCTCAAATACTCAATTACTGAAACGACTACCTTCCACTGTGCCATCCGACTACATTGGTCCTATCACTTGAGCCTACAAGTCTGTTATTAAAACGCCTTGCTAGAATGCGCAATGCCTCCAGAGGATTGCCGTTGCGTTCGCTTTCTCTCTCTCTCTCTCTCTCTCTCTCTCTCTCTCTCTCTCTCTCTCTC